AGAATAATTCAGTATAAATTGAAATAATTTTTCTTTGCATACAGATTATTAAGGAACAATTTGACATGGAACATATTTTTCTTTATTGGTATTTCTAAAAATAATGTCTAGCAGCTGCAACAAATATCACCATTGTAAGATAAAGTATATATTTAAATACATTTTTGTAAGTTTTGTAAGTCATGGAAATTCATAAGACTTTTTACCACAAGCAGCTGCAATTAATGTATTAAATGCTTAAGGCTAAACGAATCTCATCTGCCATCACCAGGCTTCTGTATTGTGTCCGTTATATATCACATAAAACAAGGAATATATATATATATAAGAAAATATATATATTGCCGAAACGTTGCTACAACTTTAAAAGCACAACTATGACATGGGAAAATACCCGAACAAAGCTGAATACTATATCTATCTATCTATCTATCTATCTATCTATCTATCTATTTATTTGTTTTCGTAAATTTTCACAGGTACAGGTATGCAGGTGTTCGGGTCTTTTCCCATGTAAGATTGCCAAGATACTCTTAATCTTACATGGGAAAAGACCCGAACACACCTAGACCTCCATATATATATGGATCTTTGGTTATTTGGGTCTTCTCCCACGTAAAATTGGAAGTATCTAGGCAACGTTTCAATGAAGTCTCATTCATCATCTTCAGGCTTGTGTCTTTGGCTCTGTGCTTCTCAGAGAATATAGTATATCTGTCACTTAGAGGCAAACCACATTTACACACTATTCAAATTGCAAAAGGATCGGGACAGTTTAAAGAAAAGGTTCAAATCAGAGATGGTATTCAGCAATTTCTGACCAGTTCTGGAGAACTGGTAGCGGAAATTCTGAGTAGTTCAGAGAACTGGCCAATACCACCTCTGACTGGAGATTTTACAGTACCATTCCCCTGCCACGCCCACCAAGCCACTCCCACAGAACCGGTAGTAAAAAAAATTGAATCCCACCATGGTTCTAATGTGAAAGCATTAACAATAACTGTAGCGATATATGTGAAATTTTGAAGCAATTATGACATCAGTTATGTGTCTTTAATGAAAAAGCATAAAGTGATCTGAAAATGCCTAACCACTATTTCTATCTGATTACGCTATTGACCATTTACCTTGCTACATGAAAAAAGCAGTGGAATATTATTTTTATAATACTTTAAAATTAAAAAATTAGCTACAAAATTTATAAAGAATACTCATACAATGGAATATTAATGAGAAGTAGCTTAGAACCATTTTAAAAGTTTTCTGTTAAATTATAGTATATCAAACCCAGAAGAAAGTGCAGTTGATAGGAGTTAAGGATATGGGAGGTATTCAGAGCAGTGGTGGGATTCAAATTTTTTTATACTGGTTCTGTGCACATGGCTTGGTGGGTGTGGCAGGAAAAGGATACTGTAAAATCAGAGGTGGTATTTGCCGGTTCTCCGAACTGCTCAAAATTTGCACTACTGGTTCTCCAGAACCTGCTGAATACCACCTCTGATTCAGAGACATATGCGTGTGCACACACACATGGACCTGATTGCACAATATTTTCTATGCAAGTGTCTGGTGATCCTTTCCCATATCCTATCAACAGTCTTTTAAGAGAATTAGAAACGTATAATGCTTTTCTAAAGTACATACCTTTCTCCACAATTTATTGTATCTAAAACTTTCAGTGCAAATATCTCTATATAAAAATGGATGTGTGTTTGTATGTTCCAGCATGACTCTGGAACCGGAGCTTGGTACATAGATGACTTACATTATGTAAACAAATACCTCAGTGGGTGTGTGCACCTTAAAATGGATTCTACTGTACTGAATTTGCCATGATAATGGCTTTACAGTATTCTAATACTCCACAAGGGTGCTCCCTCTCAGCCCTCCAAGGAAACGTCAGGCAATTGGCCAAGTGCAATAAAAAAGATGAAACACCAATGTAGACAACAAACTCCCAAGGAGAGGAACTGCGACACTGTGTGAGAGACAGTACAAAAGCATGAGTCCCAAGTATACAATTTTCCTGTCTAATACAGGATTGGGATAAATAAATACTCAGGCAATGCCGGGTTATCAGCTAGTTTACAATAAAACTCTATCACGAACGTTTCTGACTTGGAGCTTTCTTTCTGAGGAAATCTTGGGGAAATGTACAATATTTTAAAACATATATTTTTGTGTGTAAGATTTAAGATTCAAATTCGATCTGTTTGAAGAAGTCATTCTTTACTTTCAGACATTACTGGAAGTCTTCTGTTGATCTAACTGGATCATGGTTTTGACTAAATATAATGCAGACTTCCATTACTACACTGGAATTAAGTCTCATTGAAAGAAGTTGATTTATTTCCAAATGCTATTGCACACGAAGTACAATGTTTATTGAATATGTATTTATTTAGCTCCATTTATGTATAGTAGTTATATCTTATAGTTTGTTGGCTTTCAAAAACAAAATAAAACAAGCAAATGATATTAAAAGCTGAAAGAACATTTGGTGTCATAGAAGATAATGCTTTGACTTTCTTTTTTCCGGAAGTATTTTAATTTTTATGAAGATGTCTCATGAAAATGAGCTCCAGTGTAAACATAACTTTATATCAGCAGAGTACAAAAGCATTAAATAACTGTAACATCCAGAGAAGAATCCCAACCATCAATTAAACATTATTGCATAAGCTGTTGAATTATTCAAACTGTAAAAGGGACCTCATTTTTAAAAGTGTAGTTATATATCAAATACTATTAGCATGGAATGTTATACTTCTAGTATATACGTCAAAAGAATATACTGTATTGCTCCTCATTGTTCAATTCTGTGGCCATTCATACCAAAAAACATTGGCTCATTAAAAAAAATTAAATCCAAATTAAACTTTTTATGAAACTAAACAAATATATACTCATTCTCTTTCATCATTCATTTGAGGTTCCAGGCTGGAAGACATATCTGCAGCTTTCATATCACTACACTGGATCTTCTGTAAAGTCATACATAATAGGGCTGAATGTAAGAAGTGAAAGCTGAGTTTTGGAGAACCTGCTTATTCCCTTGGTGAAATTTAGGTTTGGATTGTGTGTCAGTTGGAATCCCACTAGCATTTGGTTGCCCAAAAGCTCTGAAGAAGTGGCAAGTCTTGCAATTGCCCTATTTAGGTAAACTAATATGTTTCACAAACTGAATGCCTACTATCAGTAGAATAGAAATAAATATTAACAGGTCCACACCCCAGAATATTTAATTACTATTTATTATCTACTCTGATCTGCTTCTTTTACTGGTTATGTTCAAAGGTGCCAGCACCATGGATAAGAACTCTAACATAAAATGTAAACATAAAAAAGAGAAAAAATCCTCTTACAACTTTAATTTCATTATTTATTATTCATACTATTTATATTCTATGTTTTACTAAAATGAATATCAAAGCAGTTTTCACTAAAACTTTAAATGTTGTAATATAAAAATTTGAAAAACAGTAAAAAGATTTTAAAAAGATGAACATTATTAGAACCAGAAATACCACTAGATGACAGAGAAGAAATGAAGAAAACGCTTCTCCTTTGTTGAAATCTAGTGATCATCTGGATCTTTTCAGCCCAACCTAAGTAGGGAAGCTAGCTAAAGGACAGAGCATGCATTGTTGCCTTGAGTAAGTGTGACTGAATTCAGCAATATGATGCACCTTTTTGAATGCATAGGTTCAGCTTGTAATATTTATAAACATGTATTAAAAACATTCCTTCAACTGCCTTGCAACAGTTTGCTTTTATTCAGAGATGCTAGTAAACTTTAAACATAATCATATTTAATAGTGCTATCTGGTATTTGGAGCAAGAGCCAATTTTCAAAACGTCACAAGCACATAGCCTAAAACCAAAATAGTGCATTACCAAAACAAGGGGAAGAAAAAGGTATTAATTTTTTACAAGGTATGGCAGGAAAGGACACAAGATTTTAACTATGATCTCATTATAGATAAAACTTGTAAGCAGCAATTCACTGGAAGCTTTCTGTAATATCTTAATTAGCATTTTTTCTAATAAATCTACCCATCTTACAAGTCTGTTCATGCCAGATTTTAATCTAGCCTATTGGGAAAAGTCTGACATTGCATTAGATGCTAGAAAGCTGCTTTGGAGTATACAGGTGTGCAAATATAGAATCTATCTGAAAAGTTTTAATGGAGCTGCATGTCATGCATGATCACATGTTGGTCACAAAGGGCTTCTTTGAAGAGCTGGCAATAGATGCTATGTGTGAACTCTCACATACAAAAATCTTTTAGGAAGCAAATCTAAAGTTATAGGAAATAAAGTTATAGGAAATATAGAAACAGCTTCAAAGCAAAAAGGGAAGAGGGAAAGTATGTATTTCCATTTGAATGTTTACTCATTTTTTTTAAAAAAAACATGGAAATCTATCATAAACAACAGTAACAATTTAAAGCCTTGTTGTCACCTCATTTATATACCATACTAATAAGGTTCAAAGACTATCGGTTAATCTGCAATTTGGCAGGTTATACAATTGCTGCTCCTTTTTTTGGTGGTGGTGGGGGAAATCAAAGCTGTATTTATCTATATTATCCACCCAGGATCATACTGATTATAACTTTTTAATTTTTGTTTCTTTTATTTAGGCCTGCTGCATGGTTGTTGTTTTTTTTTTGGTTCAGCTGGCATGATGTTAATGGATGATATTTAACATTAAATAGTTAAGGAATCATATTGGACAAGTATCCTCCTGCGCTTGTTGGTGTTAAAAACTACTGCATTCATTCTTCCATTAAGAATATTTTGAAGAAGTATCTGAGCTTTTTCCAGTAGCATGCAGAAAGCCACTTAAAAAGGCCAAATTTCAAGCTAGTTTTAAGTGAAGCATTTTTATGAGCTTGTCAGATGAGGTTCATTAATTCCAAAGCGTAAGAATTTGAAGAACTGAAACTTTACCTGTGTAGCTTGTCTTCAGTACTGGAAGCCTCCTGTGTGGGGCATTAATAACAGTGAAAACACTGAAAGGGAATCAAACTGAATTTGAATGGTGAATGTTTAATGAACCATTTCCACAGTTCTAGCTGATGCATCAAATCAGTGTATCAGTGTTTTCTCTCTCATACACACATTGCCTTCAATATTCTGTACATACTGCATTCTGTACAATAATGTCTGAAAATATTTTAAAGTACTAAATCACTCTGCTAGTGATCTTCAGGTAGCCATAGAAGAACCCTTTAGGGAAATGTCAACATGAAACTGCTGCTTTATCAAAAAGTCAAACTGAGTTCATATGACTTGGACAGAGATAACAGCTCTCCTTAATTCAAAGACACAGTCCATCATTTCCCTGTATAGTTCTCACCCTCCTTTTTGCATTCTAATATCATTCAACTCCAAATTATATCTTTTAAAAAGTATACGAATCTTCATTTGGCTTTTACACACTTTCTTTAGCGAACACAAGACACCATATGGAGCCTGCTCATTGTGTGCGTGTAATGCAATCTTAGGGATTCTTGCTTGTTCACTGTTTGTTCCCATTTGGTTTACATATGTTTAATTTTCCAATTGAACTTCTAGTGCTTTGTCATTCCTCTGTGAAAAAGACTCAAGATTCAAGATCCCTGGAAAGTCTCCTGGGTGGATGTTTGTACTTCTAGTCATTGAACTAGCTCCCCCCCCCCCCCCTTTCTGTTCAATCATGTCCAATTCTCGAAGACTGCTTGCCATTTTATTGCAGGCTTTATCAAGAAATTAACACCAGGAGGCCGCTTCAAAGTGATTAATATAGTAATCATTTTCCTATGAGAAGTCTAGTAACATATCCAGAGAATAAATCTCATATGTAATGGGGTAGGAACAATTTCCCACATAAACAAGAGACATTTGATGTAGCATTTGAATGCTCAAAAGAGATCTGTTAGATGGGTACATGTCACTTTCAGAGACACAAAACAATTTACTTGTTCATTCAATTCATATAGCCACCCATCTTACTTTTATGTGACCGTAGGTAATGTACAATTAAACATTTTTTTAAAAAATAACACAATATAAACAAACAAACACCATAGTAGCTGAGCCTAATTGCCCAGAAAATCAGATTTAAAAAGACGATGTTCTGTATTGCTACTTTTAATTGCTCCTGTCATTATGATAACAGATTTTATCATGTTTATGCTACCCCAGTAATAATAGTTGAATGGCAATGTTGTATGGCTCTAGAGAATTTCTTTCCCCCTTCTTTTGTTTTTTTTCCCCTGTCTTCTCTTTTTCTCTCACAGACATACATATACACTTATTGTTATGCTATGCCCTATCTTTTGCTGTCTGGTTCATGAATTATGTGTCTGCTTCACATTTGTGCCTTTTGCCAGGGTTGTTTGCTCATCAGAAGTTTATCATTTTTCATCAGCTATATGATATATAGTCATTGTGTTCAGCAGTAGCCATTCCCAAGCAGAAAACAAAATCTATAGATGTGATACAGAATTTAAATCCCTTTGAGACCACTCTGTTTGGCACATCAAAATCTAAGCCTGACATCAAATGGCACCTAACCACTTAAATATATTTGCTGGCCTTGACAGGCATGATCTATTACCTATGCACTCATGACCATAGTACCATGAATTAAATAATAGTAGAACCCATACTGAAAATATTCTTCCTACCTCCTCAGAAGTCAACAATACATTTAATCTAAGCCAGACAGAACAGACAGTATACACATGTATATAAATAAATTTACTCTTTATTTCTCCAAAAAAATAAGGTTTAATTTGAGATATTGGTTATCTTGTTACAACTAATAGATTGCTTTGCTGTAGCTTCCAATGTACAATACAGATGATGGTATGTTAATTTACAGAAAATGTGCTCTAGTAAATGGATAACATTAAATGGAGAATTAAAAAAAAAACCCTCTGCTTTAGAGACTTATATTCTGGCTTGTTTAATTTCTTATTAAAGGGAAAGAACTAAGATTGGCAGAAATTGATGCAAACTTAACAGGCTGCATTTGAAAAGCTTTTAAAAGAAATTCCCTTGAGTTCTGCCATGAAATATTATCTTTCACTTATTTCTATGATCTGTCAGCCAGTATCTCTTCTGATCTCCTTTTCTTGTCCAGTGCAATGAAGCCTGCATCTAGGCATCCCTTCGCCAGATCTAACAAGTCCGAACAGAAGATAGTAATACAGATCAGCCATGCTTTTATATTACAGAAGCTGTTCATTGGTTTCAAATACTGTTTTCATTGTACTAAGGTGATTAGAAGAGAGAGCAGCTGACAGAACTGACTACTGTCAGAGAAAGAGAATATTTCATGGCAAAGTTCAAGATAACTTCCCTTAACAGCTTGTTGAATGGGGTCTGTATGACAGCAACTGAAGGAACTATGCAATTTAGGTTGGCCATTCAAGTACTCCATTTCTCCCACATTTCTCCCACCCTATTAATATTAAATACCATAATGTATATCCTTCCATTTACATGGCTATTGTATTATTGAAAAGGATAAGGAATGCATGTAGAACATAACTTCTAGGTCACTTTCTAAACTGTTTACCAGCAGTGGATATAGAGTTTGGAAATTTAGAATGGGACAATCCATGTGGAAAAAATAACACAACCAGAAGAGACTGGAAAAAAATCTCTGGAAACTATGATTTTGGGGGGCAGGAGGGTGAAGGAACTAAGATTGTAGATAGTTTTTCTATCAATGGAAAACCATTACACAAAACATGGCACAAAACTCTGAAAGTTAACAATTGACTACGCCCGTGATGAACCAAGAAGGACTTGGATTCTATGACAATGATATGCGCTTTCTCCAAAAAGGACTCCTGGGATGAATTATATACATATTACAAAACTTGGAAAGAAAATTGAGCAAGTGCCTTGTGATATCATCAGAAACATATTAAACTAAAAGAAAATGGAGACGATGGAAATAAACAAACCCAGAACAATCTGTAGCCAGGCAGAACACAAAGGGGGGAAAATGGAAACCAAAATAGGGACTCAGAAATTTTGCAGGACTCAGGTGTTTCTACAGTGATACCAGGAGTATGAGAAATAAACAGAGGGAATCAATGATTCTAGTTCAGGAAAACAAATGTGATAAGACAATCACTCAGGGGATGATCCTCATGATTGGCACACAGCACTGGAATGTTACAATTTATTTAAAGGAACAGAAAAGGTGCAAAAAGTACATCACATATTAAAAATAAACACAGTATCCTTGTACAGAAAATCTGGAATCAGGATAGCATCATGTAGTAAGTATTTCAGCATGCATAAAAAGGAGACAGAAACAAAAGTAAAATTAATAAGGGAATTTATTACAGATTGCCTGAACAGGCAAATGATACAAATAAAACATTTATGTATCAGATAATTAGTCTTTCAAAGAGTTAAAGAAGAGTGATAAGGGATTTCAGTCATCTTGACATCTACTGGGAATATGCCAGAGAAAGAGATCCCACAAATTCTTGTCATCTGTTGTTGATAATTTCATTTGGTAGAAGTGGAAGATGGGTCAAAGGAGCCTACTATCCTGGAACTAACCTTCACCAAAAAGGGGTCAGGTCAATCTCTTTCACCACCTAATCTATTTTACAGGGTTTTTGTTTTAAGGATCAAATAATGTAAAAACCCCATTTAAGCTGCCCTGAGTTCTTCCAGAAAAATCAGAGCATGAACTGAACTAATTAAGTAGATGTGCTAGCTATAACCATATTTTGTCAATGTAAAAAGTTCAAAGATGATAAATCTGAGCTTAAACTTGTTGAGAGCAAACTTGGTATTTTACTCCAACTGAATTAAAGGTAGGCATAACTACCACCACAACTGTAGCCCAGCTGTTTTTTTTCCAGGAAAAAAAACTCTTCATGGAAACATTCAATATTGAACACACAGAAGAAATGATTTGTCAAGTGTAGATGCCTTTATTAACCTTTAGCTTTAAATGGTCCAGTTAATTGGCATGTGGCTTGGGTCAAAGTTAATGGGAAAATTCTACAAGGGGGAGTTTCTAACACGAGTCAATGACTAGGGCTGTCTTTTCTGTTTAAATGCTTTAAACAAGGGGTGACTGAGATATAATAATCTCAGCTTGAGGGATATAATTACAGATTTTCATGCAGACTTTGATAATTTTCAACAAGATAAATTGCTGGCAATTATAGACTACACAGGACAGGTGGCTTACATTCTGCTGCCTTGGAAAAATATTGCTTTGCTTAAGCTGCTTGAAGACATTGACACATAAAAAGCAATTGTTTGAACTTCTTTAAAGAAAACAAGCCATTGTTGCTTTTAAACATTTTATAGATAGATACAGGAGTCACATTTCACATTATTGCAGCAAAAAAGTGATTTTTTTGGAGCAATATCTAGATAGACACTGAAACTCTTTGGTAGAATTGAACTAATGACATATACAGTATTTTAGAAATCATTTATCTCACAGGACAAGGAATCAGTCAGTAAAGCATATCTAAATACATTCATCCCAAGTAGTCTAAATGTATTTTCTTATCTCAAAAATTTCAGCATAAATGTCAAAAGAAATAATATGCCTTATCTTTTGGAAGAAATGCCTGCAGTTTATTCTGCACAATAACAAAAGCAACTTTATCTCTTTGATTATTTATGGGGAAAGTATCCTGGGTATTTAATGCAGATATTATTGCTATGAACCTCAGCTGGATCAGATTCTGTCTGGTTTTCTTCCTGTCAGGAGCTGGATGTACAAACAAGGTTGGATAAATGTCCAAACATTGGTGTTATTGGGAATTCTCCTCTCATTAGGTCTTGAATGAGGACAAAGTTTTAAAGCCTTATTTCTCATGCCATTTTGCTAATCCAGCCCCTCATCCTATTATTAAAAAAGAAGTAGACATATCAGCCCAAATGCATGAATCACTTTTTAATTTGAACCATGTACCTCTTGTGATCTCTTTTTTCTTCTTCTGACAATGAAAAAGTTATAATTAGTACACCTCATTTGGAATACTGACCTTATATGGTTTGGGATTACTACTATTGCACAGTTCCTTGGAACTGGGAGGGCAAAGAAGGGAAAGAAAGAGTATTGGATTGGCCAGGAATATGTTATGACCCAGGTGGTCAAGGCAAGGCAGACCTCTGGAGAGTTCTCTATTTCTCTTTACAAATGTTCCAGCCAAAGGGTCTCATTGGTAAGGCTCCATCCCCATGCGACCCTGAAGGCAGCCACTCAGTGTCCCAAAGACAGCCTTGATAGTACGAAGAAGCTCACAGAGTAGGAACATGCTCACAGGGAAAGGTCTAGGATTCCAAGTCAAATCCACAAGGGAGAGTCCAGGCACAAGTCAAGGGCAATTCTCAGGACAAGAAACAGGTACCATCCAAGAAACAGTTCCAAAGGCACAGTGAAGCAAAGGTCAAACATAGGCCACAAGAGAAGGGCTAGGTCCAAAACAAAATGCAAAGAGCAATCTTCCAACGAGGCAAGGCAAACAGCAACATGACAAGTCAAACAAATAATTTTTCCTGGCAAAAACTAACTCGCCATAGATTTTCCTTAACTTACTCTCCTCCAGGTGTTCCTTGTGAGGAGGGATGGGGCAACCTCCTCCCAAGTAGCCTGGCAGCACTTCTCTGGGCTTGCCTATGCTCTCCTCTCCTTACCCTTAGATTGACAGCTGGAGTAGGCAGCTGTTCCTCATCAAAGGAGATTGGCTGCCTATGAGCCCCACTTGCTGTCAGCAGGCAATCTCCCCTTTGTCTGTGCAGGCAGGCAGTTCTCCATCTGGTCAAACACCTCCTCCATGCCTGAGAGGCCTGAGACTACATTGTCCTCAGCAGCTCAGCCCCTGGTATGCCTTTCGGATTGTCCCAGTTCCAGTTCCTCCTCCTCCGAACCGAGCTCTGATGGGATCATGGTAGAATGAAAGTCAGAGGCCTGGTTTTCTTCAACTACTTTTAGAAGCTAATTTAATGGGTGCCTGTAGCTGACTATTGCTTTTGGAGAGTCTGGGAAAAAGCAAGCTAGTCAAATTTTCACTGCAATATGAAAATAATTATAGGAAAAACCAATGGCAACTTGAAGTGTGAGTAATATGATTTATTACCAGATTTATATAGCTGCCCATATTATAGTAGTAGTAAGAGCTCTGGCTAGCAAACAAAATAGTAACACCAACAAAACTCCCAAACCAAAAATAAAATCAAGAAACCTCTGTAAAACATTCACAAAAACTCATGGCACCCCAGACTAGTACTTTCCCAACATCTGAATACCATGAATGTCTATTGTGGACCTCACCCCATTCGTAAGGGACGTGCATAAGCGCACCAACTTGCCTACCGTTCCTGTCCTAATCTTCCCTTTTATTTGTATCCATTTCATGTATTCATAGTCATGTTTATATTTATACATGTTATCTAATACATGCTTGACAAAATAAAATAAATAAATAAAATAAATTATGCTGCATTCAAGCCTCATTCTATGCTAGTGTTTTAGGAAGTGCCAGCTCTATGAGGCCTTCCAAAAGGCAAAGGGGCCTGCCAGATTTCTGGGGAAAGGATGTTCTAAGGAGAAGCTACAGAGTAAATGCAAGTTCCACTAGATGACGCATTTAAGGGAAGGGATCTGGAATATGCCACACCTATCTGATCTGGTGGGACAGGAAGATACCCAAGGAGAAATGTCCTTCAGATGGTCTGGTCCCATGCCATTTAGGGCTTTAAAGGCGATAATCAGTACCTTGGACTGCATCTAGAAACCGGGAGTCAGTGCAGCTTGCACAGCAGTGGTATAAAATGGACAAAATATGGAACAGCCATAACTTCATGCATTGCCACATTCCAGACCAGTTGTAGTTTTGGGATGGTCTTCAAAGGCAGGCCCATGTAGAGTGCATTACATTACTCCAACTGGGAGGAGACCAGGACATGAGTGACTACAAGCAACACCTCTGGAATCCAGGAATAAGCTATATCCTAGCAAAAGCTAAATATGAGTACTTGCCAACTATTATGTGTTTACTATAGTTGTTGCATCCTGGGCTCATATGATCACGATTTGAAATGTTGCCAGCCTGCTTATAATGACCATGTGATTCACTTAACAATTGTGATTTTCTTAACAACCATTGCAAGAAAAAGTACAACTCACTTAATGACTACCTGACTTAGCAACATAAATTCCAGTTGTGGTTGTAAGTCAAGGACTGCCTATATCTACAAAAGTTTAAGTGAATTGGTTTATATATTGTTTGTACAATGCAAAGTACGCACCCTTAAACCAGGGGTGTCAAACTCGCAGCATCACATGATGTATTGTGACTTTTTTCCCCTCTACTAAACCAGGTGTGGATGTGGCCAACGCACGATGCATCTGGCCCACAGGCCATGAGTTTGACAGCCTGCCTTAGACAGTAGATTTTGGTTATAGTAAGAGATAACAAATTGTCACTTGATTCAATGTTTACTGCCATAATAAAAATTCCAAACTACAGAAGGGATTTTTTTATCATCTTGTTATTAACTTATGGTAATTTAATTTATGTTATTGGAGTGTGTTTTTAAAAGAAGAAAATAAGCTGGTTACTATATTATCTCAATATAGTAATGAGCTGATTTTCTTCTTTTAAAAAATACAAACCAGTAGCATGAATTAACTAACAGGAGAATAAAAATTCTCCTATATTTCATTCCAGTTCCTTCTTTTACAGCAGAAAAGCTAATTAAAATATTTGGGAAAGCTCGGGATAAACATTATAGGGCGGGTAGATAAGGGGAGCCTGAACAAAATTACCAACAGCAATTTTAGCTCCATATATGAATTTGATTCAATAATACATTATATCCATCTACTAATCATACGACATCTAACACTTTTCAACAAACGCAGTAATATGGGCCAGAAAAAGGTTATGTGACAAAAGGGTTAAATTGCAGGGCTGACATTGCAGTAGTGAGATTCCATTTTTTTTTACTACTGGTTCTGTGGGTGTGGCTTGGTGGGTGTGGCAGGGTGAGGATACTGTAAAATCTCTAGTCGGAAGTGGTATTTGTGTTGTGGTTAGCCGGCAGCAGGTGCAGATGGATGAGGAGAGCGAGGACTCTGATGAGGGGTTAGGACCATCAGGGAATTGACTGCTGCCTTCAGAGATTGTGGGGGCTGGCAGCAGTGATGAGGTTCCTGAGGAGCCTGTGCCAAGTACATGTGCATGAAGGATTGCTCACAGGAAAGAACAATTACAGCAGCACAGGCGACTCAAGAGTAAGGCTGCAAGATAATGAGCCCTCCCTCAAGAGGATAAAAGCCAGGTTTGGAAAAACGTTCTTTGCAGACAGCAAAGAAGCTCTGAAACTCAACTGGTGGACATATTAGTTCGTGTTTGGAGAATTCTGTAAATTAGTTCTTATCTCTGGATTTTTGGTAATCCTGACAAACAACTTGACAAGGCTCTTTTGTGTCGGAGCTAATTATTGGAAAGCAGCCTTTTATCTGTAAAGGAACAGAATTAGTTATTAAACCTTAAAAGGTGGGGACTGCTACCTTTGTGTTTACTCTTTGGGAACCCAGTTGGGTCAGAACAATTTGCTGGTTCTCCGAACTACTCAAAATTTCTGCTACCGGTTTTCCAGAACTAGTTAGAACCTGCTGAATACCACCTCTGTGACATTGGAAAGACCTATGTTTATATCCTCATTAGATCATGGGGTTCACCAGATTTTCACCTTAGGATCAGTAGCCATTATTGTTGTGTGGATACATGAACTAAGTTGAGCCACTAGAAAAAAACTGGGATAGCAATAAGACATTGTGTAATCTTTAATAATTCAATTTTTTTGAAAACACTGCATACCAATTAAGTTCAAAATTTGTAATAATATTTATTTTGGTGCTTATCAAGTCAACAAACATATTAATCTTAGCTGAGGAGATGATTAATACATGATTTATGAATGCATAACGCTGGCAGTGGTCTGCAAGCTTTTGAACAACTGCTCTGTCCCCTTACTCCATTTTAATATGATTTTTAGTGCTGCTCAAAAGATAGCTTGGGTTCCCTCTGGTGGTTGATTTAATTTGTGGCAGTCTTCTACAAAAGATGAAATCTTATTAATAATGCTTGAGCTTTACTGAAGCAGAAAATAATAGTAATATTTTTCAAAATATTTCAAAATTCTGTTTACATTACCAAATCATTGTTTTACTATCTGAAGTGTAGGTGATGCAAACACAAACATCAGCACCAGAAGGACCAAAGTTACATCATATAGCTTGCATCAGGCTTGAGAATGCATGATTCTTACATAAGTATTCAATACGCTATATGATTTAGAGCATAATTTCTCAGAAACATGCATCTTATTCATATTTGAATTTCTAGAAAGTGAGATTATAGCTTGTACCACATGTTAATATTTTACAATAGCCTTTCATTTATAACCATAATTCAGCCTGCAATTCAGGTTATAAAATGTGACGATCATTCAGCAGGTCATCAGGCGAGTGTTTCTGATTTTATGATCTTTTTTTGGCTGTCAAAATGCTGTGATTATAAGCGAGCTTATTGTTCAGTATAGGGTGCTTTTTGATAAAAATAAATGCTTGTTTGTGATAAAAATGTTGCAAATCATAGTCATGACCATGCAACACTGTAAATGGCTATAAATTTTGCTGAGCACCGAAGAGACAGTCATATGGTTATGGGCTGTCCTTTGGAACTTCAAATCTGGGTTGTAAGTACCTTTTTCCAAGGCCCGTCGTAACTTCAAAAAGCCGCTAAACAATCGGTCATAACTTGAAGACTACCTGTAAATTCTCACTATATTTCATGCCTTTAATCTTACCTGTAAGAAGTAATTAGACTTTGGGTGCAATTAAAATCAATTTTTTTCCCAATGCAAAATTTTATTTTACCATTTTGTGCACAGCACCTAAAGATAACGTACATGCAAACATCTCATGCCCAAATTATATTTCATCTGTACAAAATCCTCAAAATTATCTAACATTAAAGAAATTTGAAATAAGTTTAATAGTCCATTTTTACGGGCTTAATTTAAAACTTCATCAGCTCAGTGCTTCTTCCAAGGGTTCATCAGTAAAAGATAATCATGCCATCAGTCAGACTGAACTTTCTGATATGCATAGTTTTGTTGTATGCTGCCCAACAAATTTGATGAAATAATAAATAAATACTCTATTGTGGCGATTTGGATCATTCATAGTCTTTCTATTAAGAAGTTTTCCTTTAAGCCTTATGAAAAATGGAAAAGAAGGTATTTTGAATTTTTATGTCCAAAGCAAGCAATATCGAACTTAATACATCTTATCATCAAGAGAGTAAAAGAAATGGAAATGGGCTGATCACATAACAAGAACTGACGGCAGGTGGACCAAGGCAGTCATAGAATGGATCCCATCCATGAAAGAGACCTAAAACAAGATGAATAGACAACATCAGCAAGTATTGCGGATCCAACTGGCAAAAGAAAGTTCAGGACTGTATAAGTTGGAAACATGTGGAAGAGGCCTTTTTGGAGATAGATAGATAGATAGATAGATAGATAGATAGATAGATAGATGGATGGATGGATGGATGGATAGATAGATAGATAGATAGATAGATAGATAGATAGATAGATAGAT